TCCCTAATCCCAGCCCAGAGATGAGGGCTATATTAGCCAGAGTTTACCTCAAATCCTGCTTGGACATTCTTCAGGGTGCTGAGGACTCTGGTGGTCCTGGAACAGAGGCTGCTTATTCACTCCTCAGGGCAGATGGTTGGCTGATGTGGAAGAAGTGGTGTCTGTATCCTTGACTCTAACTCACGTTGGCAGAGAGGAGTGTTGGTGTAGAGAGCTGGGGCCACCTTTCCAGCAAGTCACAAGCTCCTCGGACTGCAGCTGCCTCCTCTATAAAGTGATCAGACTGACACTCACCTCATGTTTGAGAGCCACATATGTGGTAGGAGGAACATTATTCATGTGTTAATACTGCCAAGTTAATCCCTTCCTACACCCTTTGAACTTTGGGGATTGAGGTCAGAAGAGGATGAGATAGAAGAATAAAGGGCCCAAACCAAGGCTGGGAATAGGAGTTCTGAGGGCATTTAGGAGAGAGGCGTGAAGCAATGGTGAGGGAAGTTGATGGGATCTGAAACAGGCATTTTAAGGAGATTTGCTATGGTTTTGGAATCCCTCTCATAGTGTCCAAGACTACAATAAAACACTTGAGATGAAAAAACAAACAAACACCAAAAACACTTGAGATAGTGTGACGTTACACTTTGGCTCTTAAAATGTGTTTTCTGAACTTCCTGTGATCCTATTGAAAGACTGAGCTGCATTAAGACTATGGATTTGTACTTGACATACATGGAAAGCACCAGGGACTGTGCCAGGAAGTCAAAACTGCAGTTATAATAGTTGTTATAGCTCCTGAGGAGAGGTCCTGGTTCAAGCCAGAGAGACAGGGGATCCCTGAGTCCTGATGCTCTGGCGGAGGCTGGCTTGTGTTCCGCACAATCTCTCCTCTCCAGGCTCCCTTCAAACTGTGTAAGCACTCCTTCCTCTTTCATGCTCCTCATTGTTCCCTAGGCTATCAGAAATTATCTGCCCTCTCCAGGTATTTTGTTTTGAGGGAGAAAAGACAGATCAGTTTTCCCCTATTGTATATTGATCTACTCAGAAAAATATTTGAGTGCCAGGCACTGACTATTCCAGGTCTGGGTATACAGAAGTGAACAAAAGACTAAATTCGTTGTTTTTAGGGACTTAAATTTTTGTTGTTAATCCTCACCACAGGATATTTTTTTCATTGCTTTTCAGAGAGTGGAAGGAAGGGAGAGAAAGAGAGAAACATTGATGTGAGAGACACATTAATTGGTTGCCTCCCAAATGTGCCCCAACCAGGGTGTGGAATGTGAACCCACAACCCAGGTATATGCATGTCCTTGCCAGGAAATTGAACCCATGACCCTTTAGTGTGCAGGCAGACATGCTAACCACTGAGTAACACTGACCAGGGCAGGCACTTAAATTTTAAAAGAGAAGATAGACAATAAATGAAATAAATAAATCCTAAGGATGCCAGATAGTGATAAATACTCAAGAAAAAAAAAATTCACAAGGAAAGGAAGATAGAAAATGTCAGTGGAGTGGGGATGATGGTGAATTAATTAAGAAAGGATTCACTGAGGTGACTTGAGAATCCAAAGGGAGTAAGGGAGTGAGGGTCTGGGAGAAGAGCATTCAAGGCAAAGCAAAGGCCCAGAGAGCAGTGAGACAAGTGAACTGGAGGAACAACAGTGGCCAGTGAAGAGTAAACATGGATGAATGTGGAGATAGTCATAGAGATAATGGAGTGAAGGCAAGGCCTCATAAGATCTTTAGCTTTTATTCCGAATAAAAAGAGAAACAGTGGGAGAGTTGTCAGTATAGAAGTAACAAGCTCTAGACAGGACCATTTGGCTGCTATGCTGAGAATAGACAACAGAGGATCAAAGATAAAGGCAGAAAAAACAATTAAATTATTGCAGTAATCTAGGCAAGAGGTGCTTGGTTGTCTGTTGGGGGTGTGGTAGGGGGTGGTGATGAGAAGTGGTTTAATTATGGGTATATGTTGAAGGTTGATGGTTCAGCTGTGAGAGAGAAAATGAGTAAAGGGGCCACCAAAGTTTTGAGTGAGAACTTGAAGAATGGGCTTATAACATGGTGTCTGGCACTAGAACATGTAAAGCTTGGATCTGTTGGAGAAAGAAGCAAAAAGTGAAGCAAGCACATATGCAGGAGAAACAAAAGATGGAGATATTCCTAATGTTTAAATCCCTGCTTCCAGCTCGTTCCTGAATGCCAGTTGCATTCCTGTCCTTGAATTCAGTCCTGTCAATAAATTAGGTCATTATTGCTTAACTTGCTAGAATTTGGTTTCCCAATCAAAGAAGTCTTAATTAAATTAGCAAAGGAAGTGAGAATTTGCACACTATAGACCAGAACGGATGGAATGGGCTGAGAGAAAGTGGGGCATAGGCTTGAAGAACCCCCATGTTGTGTTAATTAAGCTGGCAGGTCTTGAACCGTATCATCTCTCATCTCTTCAGGCTCCAACCAATTGCCTACAAAAGCTGGAGATTTAGGGGACTTAGTGGCAAAATGTCAGGAAATTAAAGTGTGTTGGCTGTTCTTTGAGACATTTAATAAATAGTTATGTTAGACACACTTAATTCAAGGTAGTTGCCTCAAAAATTGATAGGAAACAACACAACATGTAAGAAACGCTTTCTGTCTGAAGTCAAAGATTCAAATAATTGAAAATCTTGCAGCCATATTTCCTATTTCTACAACTAAATTACTGTTTTCTAAATTGTGGTTCGCTGGCTGTTGGAATAGGGGTATTTAAGAGAAACCAGAAAAATTAGGGACACCTCAACCCCTGGGTCAATCCCTAGGTCCTCCACTAGGTAGGTGAGCAATGGCTGGTGGCGGGTATGCATCCCAGGGCACCAGCCTCGCCATCCTGAGACTGTGCTTAGGCCCAGGCCTTGCAGTTCCCTTTAGCAGATTTAGTACTCAAAGATTATGACTTGACAAGATTTCTTGAACTGGTAATAAGGAAATACAGTCAACAAAGAGGAAACTGTCAGCCAGCCAAGATGTTGATTGATTGATTGATTGATTGATTGATTGATTTTAGAGAGAGAGAGGGGGGCTCTTTATTTTCAAAGAGAGTAAGGGTTCTTATTAAATGCTACCAGATGAAATTTGAGAAAATCTTATGACCATGTCATTAACAAAATATAGTATTTTCTTTTATTTATTGATTGGTTGATTAGAGAGAGAGAGAGAGAGAGAGAGAGAGAGAGAGGAGAGAAAAGAGACATGGATTTGTTATTCCACTTATTTATGCATTCATTGGTTGCTTGTTGTATGTGTCCTGACTGGAGATTGAACCTGCAAATGTGGTGTATTGGGATGATGCTCCAACCAACTGAGCTACCTGGCCAGGGCAGCCAGCCAAGATTTTAAAGGAGTCATATCAACCATAAAAATCCCAAACTTGGCAACAGGGCCTATAATTGCTCAATCCCTGAGGCAATCTACAGGCCCTAGTGTTAGTCATTCTACAAATATTTTTTGAATGCCTATTGTTGCCAGCCATTCTAGGCAACAGCGATATAGCTGAGAACAAGGTCTTTGCCTTCACAGAGTTTAAATTCTACTGGTTCCATCACTAATAGGAATTGACTTCTAAAGTACACAGTCCATCCTCCCACCAGGCACTCCTCTACTGTTCTCTCATTATAAGTTCTGAGCCCTAGCCGGTTTGGCTCAGTGGATTCTGAAAGATCCAGGGCAAGGAAAATTCTTCCAGCAAGTAGGCCCTGAGGCAGCCATATTGCCTGACCAAGCTCATTGCCAAAAATTTAGTAAACAAATGGACACTCATTAAATTATCTAGCCAGCACTTTTTAAAAAATCCTCATCTGAGGATATTTTTCCCTTTTTAGAGAGAGTGGAAGGGAGAGAGGGAAGAGAGAGAAACATTAATGTGAGAGAGACACATTAATGGTTGCCTTGTGCACACACCTTAACTGGGGCCAGGGATCAAACCTGCAACCCAGGTACATGTCCTTGACCAGGAATTGAACCTGTGACTCCTTGGTGTGCGGGCCAGCGTTCCAACTACTGAGCAACATCAGCCAGGGCAAGTCTTGGCATTTAAAAAAAATACATATTTGTATTGATTTCAGAGAGGAAGGGAGAAAGAGCTAGAAACATCAATGATGAGAGAGAATCATTGATTGGCTGCGTCCTGCACATCCCCCACTAGGGATTGAGCCTACAATCCACTGAGCCACGCCAGCAGAGCAAAACTTGGTACTGTTTTACAAAGGTGTGATCCATGTTTTAGGGACAATCCTATCTAATAATAGACAAACATGGTAATTGACCGGACCTTAGCTACGCCTCCCATTGGCTAATCAGCAAGATATGCAAATTAACCGGCAACAAAGATGGTGGCTAATTTGCATAATGCAGGCAGGGCGGGACAGCACAGCCGCCAGAGCAGAGCTGCCATCCAGGCCCCGGTGTGCGACCCCAGAAGCCACCCAGAAGCCGGTGATCAGGGGAGATGGGGGTCCCCTGCCCAGGCCTGACACCTCTGACGGATGCTCCAAATGTATGCTCTTATGGCTGGAATTTGTTTCTCTTTGTTCTTCCAAGGTGTTAGTGGTACTGCTTCATATAATTGCCTGATGTGCTGCCCACAGTCAGTACCTTCTCATCTTCCTTCCTCCTTGCATCTCAGATCCACCTCCTGGAACTCCCTTCCTTCACAATCCTCTTTAATGACGTTCTCCTTGGGTTCTCAGCTTCACTTAGTTTGTTCTCTGAGTATTCCTTAATGTTCCACGGGCTCATCAACATATTTTCAAAGGTTTCAGATATTTTCTTGTATTTGGGGCTCTTATACTGTGATGGTACTCTCTGTCTTTTCCTCTCTCTTCCATACTCTCTAAAAATCAATGGAAAAATATCCTCAGGTAAGGATAAAAAGAAAAGAAAGAAAGAAATGTCATATCCAATGAAAGATACATCTTGAAAATGCCTAAAGCAAGTTGTCATTTTTTTGTGGTAAAGGGACTGGAGTCCATGTTAATGAAAACACCTTGATGCTGTGGTGGCCAGCTGTGGCAGCAGCAGCAGGGTGATGGGGGTGGTGCCTTCCCCTGATCAGCTTCTCACCTCCCACAAAGGGAGGCCGGACTGCGGCTTAGGCCCGCTCCCCAAGGGGAGCAGGGAGCAGGCCTAAGCCATCACTAGGACATCCCCCGAGTGCTCCCAGTATGTGAGAGGGGGCAGGCTGGGCTGAGGAACCCCCCCCCAAGTGCATGAATTTCGTGCACCGGGCC